TATATATGTATATATCAATTTTCTGATAATTTAAAATTAATTAAAGAATTATGGTATCAATTACTTTCTTTTCTTAGCTAATGATATTTTTAAGGAAAATAACTTGACTTTTAATTAAAAATAAAGTGACACAATACTGATTATTAATTTAAATTTCTTTTCTTTACAGCTGCAGCAGGTAATTGATCCATTTACATTTTATAATTTCAACAGATGTTTTAAAAATGCTAAGTACAGAAAAATGTATCATACTTTAAAGCATTTCTTTTTTTTTAATTCCATTAAAATAATAGAATTATCGCACTATTCTTTTACATTTCAGGTACAGATACACTGACTGAATCTTTATTCTATGAATTATGAATATAAATATTTTTTATTGCCATTCTTAACTTTAACCCTTATTTTAAAATAATCCTTTGATATAATTCCATATAACTATAAAAAGAAATAAAAAAAGTTTTAAAAATAATTTGCAATTATAAATATAAAATTATTGATAAGTTATATTGATTTGAAACAGTGATTACAAACTCAATGCAAGTAAAACAATTAACAGCAAATAAACTCGGATTAATGGGATTGGCATATTATTTGATAACTATCAGTAAATATTTTTCTGAAAGTTACATTTTCCTTCAACTTGATTCATGTTTTAAATCTAAGTCAAAATTTACATACTTATTAATAGAAATGGTATATTCAGTGATAAAAATGCAAAATTATATTAAATTTCGTTGAAGCTTTAACTGTATACGACTCATACTAAAAGTGTTTAAAGAATACTTCAATACTAAAAGCAACTAATGGAATATATTTCATATAAAATTTAAAATTATATTGCATTTCGCTGAAGCTTTAATTATATACGACTCTCACTAAAATTGTTTAAAAAATACCTTAATACAAAAAGCAACTTATGGAATATATTTCATATATTTTAAATCAAAGTTAATTTTATTAACGTGAAAGGTTTATTGTTTTACACCATGTTTAAAAACATTTTTTAAATTTTCAACTTCTGTTTTCTTTTGCAGATGCAACAACAGTTGCTGCAACAGAAAAAGCTTGTAAGTAATTAACTGCCACTGAAAATAATTCTTATTAATCAAACTTGAGTTTATCGATTTTAAAACAGATATTTAAGTGATTGATGTTTTATAAACTCTCAGAAAAGCGAGCTCGTTGAAACCTTCATAAGTTGTTAAATTGAATCATGATTTCCTTCAAGTTAAACAATTGAGTAATCAAGTTTGCGAAGTTAGATAACATGGTTCAAATTGGTTTCCTTATTCATGATTCAATTGCAAAATTGAGCCATGATTCCGTTCAAGTTGAGTAATCGTGTTACCAAGTTTACAGGAAAAGATAACATGATTCAAATTAACCCTGTATAAAGATTGACGCAAATTTGAACCATGCTAAGGCTTAACATGTTCCGAAATTTCCTTCAGTGTAAGGTAGCGTTTTAGTAATGCCCATAAGCTCATCCGCTGAGAAAAAAAGTATTTTTGTTAAAGCTACCAGAATGTAGTAAAATTTACTGAGTTCCTGGCTCTATCGGAACACCAAAAAGCTCAGTAATTTTTAAGAAGCGGTAATGATTTTGGTAAAATTAACTATATAATATGGTTACATAAAATGTGGTAAAATTTGGTAAATGTGGTTACATTTGGTAATTTTAACAGGTTCACTTATAGTACGGCATAAAAACTATTTATAGACTTAATAAACTTTTCAGTTTCTTTTTTTTTTTTACTAAATGTGTGGTAATGAGAACTATAATTTTTAAAAGCAGAATTTCTGGTAAACCGTTACCATATGAATGGTTTAAATAGCGTATCTATATATTTTTTTAATATTAGAGTTATGATTTTTTTTACCAGAAATGACATAACCATACTGCATGGTAATTTCATCAGAATTTATTCTTCCATGCAAGAATTATGTCTCCGGCATAAATTTTGAATTAATTCTCTTTAATTATTCATTTTATTAAAATTTTGCAAATTTCAAGAGTTTTATCTCCTTTCTTGTTTTGTAATTTTTGTTTTCGTCACGAAAGTATTAAGTTACTTCAAAAGAGCTCACTTGATCTGAATTATTTAAAAAGTGCTAATAAAATTATGCATGTTGGTAAAATTGCAGCAAAATGTAACCCACAGATAATTCGAGAAAATTACTAATAGCGACAAACTTAACATAATATTGGAATTCAAGGAAAGCGTCCTCATTTTGTCAATAAAAAACATGCTTGAAAAATCTTTTGTAACACAATTTTTTAGAACAGATACTACAAGAAGTTCCTAATGTTAAAAGGAAATATTTTCCACATTTACTTAACCTTTTCAGGTCACAATTTCATACATATTTAATTGCATTAAATATGTAATAAATTGAAAAACAATTTTTTTTTAAACGAACACTGTCCTCATATTTTTTTTTTCTTTTTATGAAAAACTAGGCTATTTTTATGCAATAAGAAAAGATAAATTCGGTTGAAATTTTGAGAAATGATCATAGAAAATTATGAAAAATGCATCAATTGTGAAGGATTGCAAAAGAACACGAATAGATTTTTAGAATGCTAAAAAAAGAAAAGTGTTTGCTAGTAATTAATTTCTTTGCATTTAGAGAACAATTTAAAAATAATTTGTTCGAATTTTTTTTGTCACATTCGTATTATTTGCCGTGAATTAAAAAATATGAAATTTGCACTTTAGACCATTTTAGGCGTAAAAACTCTAATAGTATGATTTTTAATGTTATTTAAACTTCTTCGTATTTTTGAATATAAAATCACAATATCTAATTTATATTATTAAATAATATCTCATTTAAATAAACTCTCATTTTAGAGGCTGAATGGAGTTTTTTATTAAAATATGAAAATAAATTACTTCAATCAGTAAATATTTTTCTATTTAGTGAATAAATTTGAACTAGCTAAATAAAAAATATTAATTTCGAGCATAGTTTCTACCCATATCATGACTTCTCGTAGTGAGACAAAGATGTTGTATAAGCTATATTTATCTTTCCAAAACTTTAGTTGAAGAAATAATTTGATTCGTTTTACATTTTTAAAGACATTGTAAATGTTTATTAAATAAATTGTTGTTTGATTTTAGAAATGAAAACTCTATGAGGACCGAAACCCAGCTTTCTGTTACAGCCACTATGCCATCGTCGCTTTAGTGGATTCTTCTGGTGGCGTTGATTACCATAAAACAAAGATCTTTTTACTAGGTTTCGGAACAAACTGCAATGTACCAAATTGATTCCCTTTATGTTCTATTTTCTGTACAATAAATTGTACTAATAATTTGTAATTTTCTGGACAATAAATTTTCTGTACAATAAATTGCCTCTTTCCTAAAAATTTCTTATTTCTGTCCATTTATTATTTTATAAGTTTCAATTTTCATCATGTTTCAAAATTTTTAGAAGTTATTAGAATGAAATTAGCGATTATGAAATTCTGCACATCAACAATAATATAAAAACGACTAACACTTACTTGTAAAAGGCAGTTCGAAATCTAAACTAGGAAAATAATTTTTTTTATTTTTAATAGTTTTTCATAGGCATAAAATCTATTATTACTCTAAAAAGTATAGTTTGCTACTCAGAATTTTGCAATACTGGAAAATATGAGTAATATGTGTTTTTCTCATAATGCTATTTCGGATTATTTATTGCCATGAAAAATTTGCTTCAGAAACATAAAAAATTAGTTTATTGGTATAAAAAAATTAGGAAATTTAAAAATTTCACATTTCCGAATGAAATTTAATTAACTATAATTCACAATAGTCTTGGAAATCTTAATCATAATTACGAAATTAAGATATTTAATACATAACTACGAAATTAAGATAATCATAATTAAGAAATTAAGATAATCATAATTACGAAATTAAGATAATCATAATTACCAAATTATGATACTTTAAATGTATAAAAATAATAAGGAAAATATAAGTCAGGTCAAAGGAAATAAGAGACTACTCTCAAAATTACGGAGCATTCTATTTTGTCTCAATCCATCCAAAGAGTTGTGTTTTGCTTTATTTGCTATATTATGTCAGTAACAACTTTGAAAACAAAAGTGAATTATACAGAGTGTTCTCTATGGATCACACATAATTTGGTAATTTTAAAAGATACCTTTGAACATGCTATGAAATTCATTTATTAAGTTTTTCTTCTCAGTTTTGAATTTTTTTGGAAATGTGTAAATAAGAACTATAATTTTGGAAATTAGAAATTCCAGTAAACCGTTACCATATGAAAGAAAAATACTATCATAAAAATGGTTTAAATGCCATTTATTTTCACTTTATTACCAGAATTAGGCTTTTTTATGAGAAATGTTTTTAACATACATCGTGGTAATTTTACCAGACTTTTTTTTTCTCTGATGCAACACAAAGCGTTTTCGATTGCAGTAAGAACTAGAGAGAAGTCAAACTAAAATTATGACAAATGAGTTTTTTCTAGCAAACTAATTTTAATGAAAAGTCATTCCCCTTTCCTCACTGGTGATTCTACAGAATCTGTAGTGATTTTGTTTTTCACTCACTCATGTAATTATTCGTCACCCTTTGTGTGTGTTCTTCCTTTATTTTGTTTTATTTCTGACAAGGGTTCAATTTACAGGAAAAGGTTTCTATTATTTAACTGCGAATTTTTGGGGTTAATTTTGGCACATCTGTAGCTTAGTACATTAAATGTAATTGTTATCCTCCATATTACGCATACCTAGACATATTTGCTATTATTTGAAAATTTTCAGTAAATTTTACAAATATAAAACAAAAACAATGCAATACAATACAATATGTTACAAAAGTATGTGCCATTTGCCCAATCAAGGAAACCGTTCGTCTTCACTGGGACACAGATTTTTAATTAATAAGACTTTTTAATACATTTTAATGCATTCAATTATCTCCCTTCCTGCCTCTGATTTGAGAGGGAAGATTTGAGACACAGGCTCCATCTTGTTTTGAATTTTCTAAGCGTATACGGATTCATGGGATACGGACATGTCAGTAATATACAGTTTAAAATATTATGATCCAGTGTGGATCGCAAGTGAGAACATAATAACAATATCTCTTAAAAAGATATCTAATTGTTTGAAATTTTTGATGTGTGTATATCGATTTGGACAGAATAAGTTAGATTATTATATAATTTAGGCTTAATGACTCAGGCTTAATTACTTAAGCTTAATTACTTAGGCTTAATTACTTAGGCCTAATTCCTGATGTTCTTTTACTAAATCCAACACAGTTCGTGTCTTGTTTTTTTCCTCTTTTTTTTTCTTCCTAGAAAAGAGGTATTCACATATTTTACTAATTTTAGAGGCAACCCGCGAATCAAAAAAATATTTGATTTTAAAAATCTTGGAACCATTTTTTTTTCATTACTCACAGCAACTTTCTCACACTTTACAGTAATAGAAGGAAAAAATTTATTTTCTTTTAGTTTCATCAAGTGAGATTTAAGTACTTGATACGATTTGTACATATGGAATACATACCAATACATGTACGTAACAAATGTCACGGAATTTATTGTTTTGCAAACGAATTCTTATCCAGAATTACCTTTCTTGACATATCATTTCTAAGTGCATGCATACAAAAAAAATTTAACTTATTGAACTCTTTTTAATTGCACGTGGAAGGATATGAATAATTTCATCACGATACTTTTCAACTGATAAAGTACGCAAATAAAGACAAATCTAAATTTTTCGAACGTTTTTAAATGTCAAGCGTCAAAAATAATTTCATCGGCCTTTTACACTACTGTTTAAACATATAAATACGAATTGATTCTAATTTTTTCTTTTCCTTTAAATATCGAATGTTTTTTTTTTTAAATTATTTGATCGTCTTACCAATCAACTTATTAAATGCATAACTACACTGTAAAAAGATTTTGTGTATTGTAGACACCATTTTACGGATTGAAATTTTTTTTTACAGTGCATGTAATCTGTTTTTTTTTTATTTATTTTTCACTGTTAAAGTTTTATATATATTTTTTTTCTGCTTATTTGTTTTCTGGACAACACATATTTTAATGCGCATTAAAATAACTTCAGGGTTTCATTGCAGAAACATTTCGTTTAAAAAACAGACTTTAGTAATATATTTTCACTAATTCCTTCAAACAATTCGTATTTTGTCACTTTCATGTTAATTTTTACACGATAACTACAGTTTTGTGACTAAAAATGCATTTCGTTTTCCTGGTGGCAATTACACACAAAAAAAATTACAGTGTTCGCAATAATCTTCGTTTTCGATTCAATATTATTTATACGCCATGTTAATCAAGAGATGCATTTGAATACAGCAAAATTTGAGTGTTGCGATCCTCTTTGAACAATGTTTAAAGAAGAAAGGGGTTGTATGGGGGGAAAATAAATGAGACTATCATTATAACTCTATTTCCAATTCTAAATTTAGTCCATTTTTAATAAGAAGTATATTTACGGCTCATTAAAAATTTCACACGTCTTCTTGGCAAAAATTTCTATACATATACATTTAGCATTTGTTCCCTTTCGTATGAATACATGCTTAAGGAATACACATGGTTTATGAATGCATAGTTCTCTTTTTTCTTTTTTTTAAGTATTTTCAACAGTCTGCCCAATTCTGAGTTAACAACTATAAATCTTAAACTCTGGGGCTTCGTAATTTTTAACCCAACCTAAAAGACGATTGAACTTCTAGATCAAGCAATGAGACAAACTAGGCTTAGTGGAGGACTTTCTGATGGATCTAACCAGCATTTGCGTCACATGGAGAGGAAACCCACGAAACTCTCCTACGGTAAACCAAAAGCAAGGGAAATCTACTTCCGTAAAATTTTACCGTCTTCCACTGAGGATATTTTTACTTCATCATTGTGCTCGGTGCGAGCTGGGAGCAGGATTCGTATGAACTAGCCACCGCTAGGATTCGAACCTGGTTCATCTGATTGAGAAGCGAATGCTCCATCCGCTGAGTCACCACAGCTCAGGGTCAGGTCATATGAGCATGGTTTATCAATTATATGCAAAACTTTTGATACTCTATATAATAATACAAATCCCACTGAATATTCTCTAATGATCGCACTGCAGGGGAAAAATTCTATCATTGAACTCGATCCTTTGTTTGACCATCTACATTATTCTATAGTTATTGGCCACAGCCCCGCCCTCCTGGGATGTTTATTTAGTATACTTTGTAAAGTTCGAAAAGCGCCATCTTGGACGTGAGTTAATACACGTTCAAAGGAATTTTCTGCTCATAAAAATACGAGTTTTGTACTTTTTTTTAGCTCATTTTCATATAAGCAAATTACAAATATCAAAGAGACGCTTATAGTGCTGATAATATTTAAAACTGTGCTTAATAATTGTTATTTAGCCATATTAATAATAATTGTTTACCTTTATAACAAGATTTTGTAACTAACTATATATATATATATATATATATACACACACAAA